CCTTTTCTGGCAATTCCTCCTTTTCTTTCCTTTGGGGGTGTCTTTGTCTCCCCATTTTTGCTCTCACCAAAGGAACTAGGTGTCAAGTCATGCGGGGGCTGCTCCTCGGGTGGCCGTGGCAGTGGCTGCTCCTCAGTTGGCCACAGCTCCTCTGGTTGGTGTTGCTTGCATGGCTGCTTGCAGCAGTGGTGGCTCCTCTGGCTGGGGGGAGAGGAGGTGTGCTGCTTGTGCAGCTGCTGCTCCTCAGATGGGGACAGGTTGCATGAGGCTCCTGCTCCTCAGACAGAGGCAGGCTGCTTGAGCGGTTGCTGCTTGTGTGGTCATGGCACCCTGGGCTAAAGCATTGGGCCAGCCAGAGGGTAGCATGCTTCTGAACTCACAGGAGCCTGTGGCCAGGGTGGCTGGAGTCTCAGTGGCCGTGGGACTACAGCCAAGGCAGCAGGTCCCTGGCGGAGGTGGCTGTAGAGTCCTGGGTGGTGTCTGAGGGCATCCTGGGTGGAGGTGAGGCTGCTCTCTCAGTCACAGAAGCTCTCCCCTTCAAGAAGGCATGGCCTCTGCAGTAGAGCCGGCCACCCCAGGATTGTTTGCAATGGTAGCAGAGGCTGCCTGGTCAGGCGAGCCCAGTCTGCCTGCCCCTGAAAGTCCTGCGGCATCTAACTGTCCCTCACTCATGTGCACACGCACACACCCCACACGTCCACACACTCCCCTTTTGCTCCCTCATTCACTCATGCTCTCTCCCTCACTGCAGCCATCTTCCTGCCTCTGTAGTTGGGTCTGGAGTGTTACTGACCCGTTAGTGGGTGGAGTCTCCTCTCCAGGTGTCTGGTTTTGTCCATTTTGGCCACAAAGGTACCCAGCAAACTGCCCAACCTGGGCCCCTCAAAGGACTCAGCCAGGGCTGGCCTGGTACACAGGTCAGGGGAGCTAGTGGGCTGCATTGACCTCGCATGGGCACACGCTGCCAGCTACCCCATGATTTGTTCTTAATCAGACGTGGGGAAGACACACTCCACTTTAGGGAATCCTATATGCCAGGCACCTACCTACATTGGCACTGCTCCTCTGAGCCATCCTGAAGAGGAGGCTTCTTGTCCCCATCACATAGGTGAGGGGAGTAGAGGGAAAGGGCTGCATGCCATGTGGAAGTGACCAGGTCCTGTGAGACAGGCTGACACTCCCCTCCCCCACCTCACCAAGCCTCCCATAAAGCAATTTCAGGAGAAAATAATGATCTCACTCCAACAAAGACAGGGGTTGACGGAAATCCTCAAAGGGAAAGTTGATGAGGAATAAGCTTTTCCTTCTCATTCAGGCCCAGATATGCCTGTTATTGTGTATTTACTGTGCTTGTCTTGACAGGTCAACAGTGCCATTGATGTTAGTAAGGTTAATTATGTCAAGTCAGACACTTGTGAATACTGCTGTTCAGTACTCAGGACTGCCAAGTCACCTTCTTCCCCTGATTAACACCTCCTTTCCCCCTCAACTTAACTGTGTATTATTCCATAAAGCCTGTTCAAGTAGGGCAATCGCAAACGATGGGGATTGGCTACACTCTCAGGGCCAGCGCCAGACTCTTATTCTCAGTCTAGGGCAGCAACTAGCCCGGGATCCACCGCAGATGGGCAGGTTTCTGCCAGGAAAAAACCAAAGCTGGTGCAGGAGGTTTGTAGGCAGAAAGGGCCCTGAGCCTGGTGTGCGTACAGGCAGTCCCAAGTGGGTGGAATTCTCCATCCACCAGGAGCCCAACAGAGTCAGAGCTTTTATTCTGAACCAAAATTGGGAAGAAGTACAAAAATAACACGTGTGGAGATCACAAAGGACATCCCTTCTCCATCCCCAAAGGCACAATAGCGACACAAAATCAGACAACATGAGTCAGCCCTGTGCCAGCCGGGAGGGTGCTCAGGCCTCTCTGGATGGCCCAGCTCGAAGGGGTGGGTGCCACTCTGAAGCTCAGCTACAGGCCCGGTAAACTCCCCGGGGGCCCAATTATCAGAGAGAGCCCTTCCTGCCAGTTCTGCCTCAGGGTGCACACTTTCCCAGGAGCAGGAAAGCAAGGCCTAAGCTGTAATTATCAATTCCTTGATTCAGTTTGCACCCCTTCGACACTGGAAACTTGAAGCCCCTTTCCTGGCCAGAGAGTCACCAGGCTGTGGCTGACCTTGAGAACAAAGGCATTCGTTATCTCCAATAGACCTTTTTTACAGTTCACTGGCTTGGGATTCACCTCTTATGCTTTAATTTGCAATTATGAACCATATGCAATTCCAGAAATTGGCAATTTTTGACAAAACTGGCAGGAGGTAGGAATATTTTTCAGGATTTCCAAGAGAAAATCACACTCAGAAGATATCTCTCTCAGAATGAAATCTAAAGTGCTTCCCTCAGCCTACAAGATCCTGGGTGAGCTGGCCCTGCCCCCTCTCTCCCCTCCAGCCACCCTCCTTCACGCTCACTCCTCTCCAGGCATACTGTCCCTCTTGCGGTTTGTGAAATAGGCCAACCACGCTCCCACTCACTCTCACCTCAGGGCCTTTGCACCTGCTGGCCTCCTGGCAGAAATGCTCTTCCCCAGCTACCTGCCTGCTTCATTCAGGACCTTTGGTCAGATACACCTTCACCAGACACCAGGAGCACACACTCACTTTCCTAAGTCAGCCACTGAAGCTTATCCTTTTGTTCCTATTGTATTAATATCTTCAAGTTGAATGTTAGGAAATTTGACGAATTCATATAAAGCCTTTTTGATGGTGTGTGCATTTTTATTTAAAGAGGCAAGAGTAAATGCTGTAAATCTATTTTATTTTTGTTTTGATTCTCGTTCCTCTTCCAAATATCTTTCCTCTGCTTTGCCTTCCAATTGAAAGCCGTGAAGTCGGTCCCTCCGAGTAGCTTCTATGAGGCTATATTAAATGAGCGCCCTGACATACTGGATGGCATGGACCTCGATAACAGTGTAAGTTGGATAAAAACTTGAGACCACCTTGCTTCCATTTGGGGCAGGAAGCCCCAGGTCAGCTGGCACTGCCTCATGAGCCCTGATATTCTTCGCTTTACTCTGTTGTTAGCACAGCCCAAATGAGCTTTCCTTATAACAGACCTACATGTCAATGACGCACATTCAACCAAAGGGGATCGTAGAAAGCCTAATGTGTTGCTCCAGGGCCTGAGTTTCAGAGAGCCCTGCTGGTAACCTAAACAAATATCCTCAAGATTGCTTTGAGTCCTGGCCAGGTGGCTCAGTTTATTGGAGCATCGTCCCATACACCAAAAGGTTGTGGGTTTCATTCCCAGTCAGGGCACATATCTGGGTAACAGAGGCAACCGATTGATGTTTCTCTCTCATCTCTCTAACTACCTACCTACCTATCTACCTATCTCCCCCGCCCCCTTCTTCACTCTCTGAAATCAGTAAAAATATATATTTGGGTGAGGATTTAAAAAAAGATTGCTTTTGAAATCAGGAAAGTTCAAACAAAACATAAATCATCTAGATCTCAAGGCAAATCGTTCTGTGTAGAAACCCTTTGTAAAAATGAAGTTAGTTTCTGGAAAGATGGCGTAGATGTACTTTTCCCACTAAGTACAGCATAAAACCCTAGACATTACATATAAAAGAAGCATAAGAAACTTCTGAAAGGCAGAGAGAAGGCCGACTGGCTAGGGACCTGGGGGCTTCATGAATGACATGGCAGCGAGTTTCCTGAGTTTTCTTTGTACTTCACGTGTCCCAGGCTGGGTGCCAGCAAAGACAGCAACCAACAACCAAACAAGCTCAGACAGCAAAACGCCTGACGAAAGCCTGGTGTTTCTAACCAAAGGGTAGGAATGGGGCAGCCTAGCAAACTAAACCTTAAACGGCCCCCTCTGCAAGCAGACACCACAACAAACAGTAGTGAACCACCTAGGGGGCTGCAGTGCTGCTAACACGGCCTTCGGAGGGGCACAGAACCAGCCCTGGAGAGTCAGCAGGCGTCCTTTCCCCAAGGGTGCCCAGTAACCAAGATGAGATGGACGTCATGACAGTATGAGCAAGCCTTACCTCTGTAGTATGTGGTATTGTCTTTATTGCATCAATTTCTTCCCCGCTGGCACAGCCTAGTGGCTCTAATTCCCTGTGTCAAACCTCCAAGACTGACCACACATGTTGACTCAGGCTGAAGCGTTATGATGCATCCTCTCCGCTATGGCTAAGAAACCTCTCAGGATTGTAGGTACTAACTACAATCACAATACTGAAATCGTGTATCCCTGGAAATCAGGAAATCAATATTAAGCAGGTGTATTTTTCTAAACTTACAAAAGAAAAGGCAAAAAAAGAAAAACAACTAAGTTGTTTGTTTTAATTGGGAAATGTTCTGGTCTCAATTCATATTTAGCCTTAAATTTCATACTTGCCTCTATATATATTACAGGGTAGGGCAAAAGTATGTTTATAGTTGTTCATATGAAAAATAATACAATAATTAATAGTCATACAGGAATAAAGTCTGTGTTTTGCATACTCACAACTGTAAATCTACTTTTAACCCACCCTGTGTATTAATAAGAATTGCTTTTCAAGTACTGAAATACCACACCCAAGGGAGAAAAAAGATTGCACAGGAGCTTAGATTCACTGCATAGCATTTACTAAGACAGGAAAGTAACTCTGGCATTTTAGAAACATTTTTCAGCAAGAGTGAAAATCTAAAGAAATTGTTTGATTTAGAAACTGGAATCATTCAGAAACCATCAGCATGCCTGTCCATTGAGGATTTGCTGTATGGGCAGAGCTGCGGTCACAGGCAGAGGGGAGTCTCCTTTGTCGCTGTTCGAGCTCCTGCATGAGCATGGCACTTTGGGAGGGTTCCGTGTGACAGGTGAGCTGTGCAGGCTAGCTCCAATCACAAGCACCTCGCCTCGTCATCTCAGGGGCTTTGCCCTGGTGACAAAGTATGGCATAGAGTTGGGAGATACATTCCCCCTGCTGTCTATACCACTCTGTCCCCAAGGATCAGAAGCTTACGAGGATGCTGAGACAACAGATACTGGCGCTCTCGTGATAGGCAGCTTTACAGCTAGGCTAAGCAGTACGTCTCCAAGCCATGTCGTCAGCAGCAGATGCGAACAGGTGGGACCAGAGCAGGACAGGAAGAATGGAATGAATGTCACAGGAGACCTACAGCTGAAAGACTTTTGAGGCCCCTATGAGGGGGTACCAGAAGCCACTGGGTTACAAACTAGGGAGAAGGAATTGAAGTCCTCCCATTTGGATCGGGGTTATCAATCAATATTTTGGTTATTCTGACAGTTCAATTACTTTGCTATTCTTGATTCACTTTGTTTGTTTTATTTCTATGACATGCCCATGAATCACAAACCCTGCTATGCAAACTCTTTTGGTTGCAAGAACCAGAGATTCACCCAGGAGTCATCTCTGGGCATGAGAGAACTCATCACTGGAGTGCCCAACATACCTACCGTGATGATGAGGATAGTTCTACTAGTCTGGGGAAGAAAATGGGACCAACCTCACAAGGTGTCCATGCTGGCTAAATCGAATGGGGTGGCACAGCCTAGGTGGAATGAGAACTTCAACTAGGCCCACTCAGTGGGTCTGTTGTGTAGTGGATACAGTGAGCACTGTATTTTCTGGTGAATAAAACATAGAATCCAAAGAAGATGTTGAGAGATCACCAGCCTAATAGGAAATTGCTCCACCCAAGAGCGGGATTGTCAATAATGAGGAATTTAGAGGCAAGACACCACGGACCTTAACCTCAACCTGGCCTGAAACACCGATTCCAGTGTTAAAGGTAAACTGAGGTATATTTAAACATGTTAAGAGTTTATTTGAGCATACATCAACTGGAATTGTCATCATCAAACCAGAAGTGGTTGCTAATGCTTCACTGACAGGAGCTGGGGAGAGGTTTTTAGAGAGAAAAGCGGAAGCAAGCAAGGAAATTATTGATTGGCCATAGCTTAAAGCTAGCTGGTTGCTTGTGTTTGGTTGTCCTTGGGTTTTGATTTTGTAACCCTGGGGCATTGACAGGCTTAGATTTTGGTTGTTTATGTAGGACACCACAGCCTTAGTGCTACCCCAGGCTAATGACCTCCTTGTTTAATTAATTTAATACCAGCAATGGGCAAAGGCTGGGAATCAGACAAGCTAGATCTGAGGCATCCCAGCTTTCTCCATAGCTTATAAAAACTGGCCAAACACAGTTTTATCTTAAATCTGTCCCAGATCACATGCAACTCTAAGTCCATTGGTCTTCTGCTTATTATTAAAAACCAATAAGTTAATGGCATACTATACATTATCAGATGTTGAACAACAATAATGACAACTTCAGTTTCTAGGTGTGCAGGGCAACATGACAGATCCATGGATTTCTTCAACTGCAAGCCAACTTCCATCTTCTAGCAAAAGGGACCCAAAAAAGTAAACGCTTGTGAAGACCCACCTATGGGTCAGTCCTAGTTAACAGCATGGACTTGGGATAGAACAATCGTTTACAAAATAAAAAGGCAGCTTGCAATGTCATTACTTCGGAAGAATCTTTAAACACAGGATTGTCCACTGTAGTAACATGCCAGGTGCCACACTGCTTTCTGAAGACAGTCATTGTTCACATTGAATAAATAACCAACCACTAGGAAGTTGGTCATTCCTAGAACTCAGAAAGCCTGTTAAGCTCTTAAAGCATGAAAGCATTTTTACTTTCTATAGCCATCTCCACATTTGGAAAAAGAGCAAAATTTTGCCCTTGGCCAGGTAGCTCAGTTGGTTAGAGCATCACCCAGTATGCTAAAGTTGCAGTTTTGGCAAATCGGATGTTTCTCTACCTACCTACCTACCTACCTACCTACCTATCTCATCTTTTCTCTTTCTAAAAATCAATAATTTTTTTAAATGAGCATAGTTTTCTTCTCTCAAAAGATTGCTAGAAAAAATCTTGAGGGAGTTGGGAAGTGAGTAGAGGGTATGATAATAATGGAAATATTCTTTAAAACAAATCTTGCTAGCCAGATATCTTATTCTCTGATCCTTTTGTAGCTTTTTAAGAGCTCCTATCACACAGTATTTAAGACCGTGCTCAAAAAGCAGGCTGCTCACAGTGAACTGGAAGAGGATACTGACATTCCCCTGACTGGCCAACTGGAAAGTGAAACCAGAAGGAAACTGAGAATTCTGTAAGTGGCTGGAGAAATGAGGTATTGGTCAGTGGGTTTAGGTAGGTTAAAGGTAGCAGTAGGGCAATGTAAATTGGGCCACCAGAGGAAAGAGCAAGGCCAGTGCCAGAAGGTCCCCTGAGTCAAAAAGCAGGCACAAGACAGGCACAAGGGCAAGGAAATTGACAAGCATGGGAGATACAGGATAGGACCAAAGATAGGCAGTGACAAAGGTTGGAAATCCATGGCAAGAAAGTCTTGAAGAGACTATGAACTTGTACAAAAGTCTGGGGAGCAAGGCTCAGGACTCTGGGCCTTTTAAGAGAGGGGACAGTCAGGGAATGGAGATCCCAGGCATCTGCCCAAGAAATTCCCTGGCCTTATCCTGGGCTAAGCCAATGCTCTTTCCTGCTTCCTGGAGAGGGAAAGCCATGAGGTTCACTGACCTGGGAGCAATGGCCAGACCCTCTATTCAGAGTGGAGAATGACGAAGATGTGGCTGGCACCAAGCCTTTCTAGTTGGCATGACCCCAGGCACAAAATGTTCCAGATCCCCACTTGTACATCCACCCGGTGCTGCATTTCCACTCATCCAGCTGTCAAACACCTTGGTGAGCAAGTTGTTCTTAGGCCTCCCATGAGTCTATCACAAACTCTCTGGCAGTGGCGCCAATGAACAGGCTGTGAGGGATGGGGTGTCCTGTATAATCTCCCTCGTGAGTCGAAGCTTTTACAAAAATCAGGAAGAGAGATTGCCAGCAATTTCAGCTTTGGACTCATAGTGTCTTGGGGCCAGAGACCTCTGAGGTTTCTCTAGGAAAGGGGAAAGCAAACATCCAAGCTTTCAGATCCTTATACAACTGTACAAACAAATGCCAGAAAACATCCCAAAAGTTATTCTACCTCATATATGACATTCTACCCCCATTCCTTCCCATTTAAGCTTACCGGTGCTCATTCTAATCTGATTGCACTCAACAAATATTTCCTGAGCACCTACTCTGTGCCGATCTGTGTGTTGATCTTTACAGTAGTGTGTGCCCGAGAGCCGCTGCCACTGAGGAGCTACCTAGTAAGATTCCACTAGCTTGCAAAAGTGGACAAAGAAGGGCATTGGGTGCCTCTATCTGGACCCTTCACTGGAGTTTTAACTCTTGCATATACTAGTATTTGGCATCCTCTCTTGGCCTGTGGAATAGGTCTCACCCCACCCACTCCTCGGTCCTCACCCTCTCACAGGTAATAGTAGGCTAGATAACTGCTTCCATTCTATTGAAAGTGCCAGCAAATAAAATGAAAACATTCCGTATACATGGCCCATGAAGAACTCATTCTCAAGGTCCGTTATTGCTTTTAAAGCACAAGTAGTAAACCTTAGCTCTCTGCCAAGTGAATTCATTCAGCCCTTCCCAGCAATTTGTTTCCTGGGTTGAATTATCATGCACTCTTTAAGGAATCTTAACTGAAAACTTAAAATCTGTCATGTTAAAGGCCTTCCTCCAGATCTAATTAAGCTGGGATGCTCACTCCTGACACATTCCCTTTCAAAAATATTCTGATCTGAGAACCAGGAAACACAGCTACCCCTGGAGGTCCCTTTATTTGGGAGGACAACAGCCCAAGCCATTGACATGCCAGGATGACTTGCTTTGTGTATTGACATGAAAGGGTCTGATGGCTTGAGTATTTTGAAAAGCTGTGCCTTGGTATGGCTTTCATGGTGAGTCATTCTGAATGGGATTACTGAAAATCTTCCTGCTAAATGCAAAGGGGTTTCCAATGGCACAAACAATGCTGTTTTTCCACGCTGTTTCCAAATGTCACCTTCACTGGGATACGCACAAGGCATAGAAAAATCAAGCTTAACTCATAGAGCCAGTCTGGCATTTCTGCCTTGTCCCTGCCTTCAAGCTGATCCTCACTAAATTTATTTTAAAAGTTTGGGGGTCAGCCCAGGTGCCCAGGTTAAAGGCCAATTAGAGGCAAGGAAAGAAGCACCAACCCCATGCCATGTGCTGTTCCTTTACTCCTCAGCTCTGATTGTAAGAATAGCTGGGTCTGAAAGAGCCGTCAGCCCAACATTCCACCTATGAAAAGGACTTGGAAGGTTCTAGCACTGGCTACACTGTGTAGCGTGACATATAAACAGGAATTTAGTCTCAGTTTTTAAAGATAACTCACATTCCTTTCAGGTTGAAGACAAACATTGAAAAGTACAAGGAAGTAATTCACTGGATTATGGAGAAACGTGGAAGTAAGGACTTCTCTACCATTTTCCATCCGTGACTGGCTCTCCTGTGTGCATTTCACTGCCTCTCACCTTCTGCCATGTCCGCAAAGGAGGCAGAAGTGCTCATTCCCTCATTTGAGCACCTACTGGTCTATTGAGGTCCTAGCTGCCAGGGATAAAATATGGAGAAAGATGGACACAGTCTGGGATCTCAATGGGATTACGCTTTGGTGGTGGGGTGCAGGTTGGTGGGGGTGGTGAAAATAGACAAGCAAGCAGGAAATTCACATATAGTATGGTTAAGTGATATGGTGGGAAGGGGATGCTATGAGACCACACAGAAATAATTCCTAGATTTGGGGAGGTCTAATAAGTCATTATTAACATAAACTTTGGGAAAGAAATAGCCCTTTTACCATATACTGAAGGCATTTGTGGTCCAGCTTTTAAGATTTGCCAATCATGGAGCTTGCCAGTTTTTGGAGTCTAATCATGGAAAGCTTGAACCAAGAGCTTAAGCTTCAAGGCTACCTAATTTAGAAACTCAAAACCACCATATGGAATATGTTTCAAATTACCAGATCCAACTAACACAGAAATGGCAATGATAACAATGGCAAACATAAGAAATCAAGCGTAGTATTTTTCTCACTGAGCCAGGACACAGCCTCGAGGAAGTGCTCCCGTTCTCCAATACCAATTTAGCCCCTGACCTAACTCGTACAAAATAATCGCTATGGGATCGGTACTTTCACATATGTTATCTGTTCAAATTAATTTTCATAACCATGTGAAGTAGCATAAAGAAAGTAAAGCTCAGAGAGTCATTGGGTGAACATGAGCCACACTCATGTCCAAAAGCTCTCAGGCCATATCCAAGGCTCATCCTTTTGGCATGTTCAATGTGTCTAGAGAAGAAAAGTGGGGGCCTTCTAAGTCTAGGTTTCATGTTCTCAGTGGAGTTACCGAACCCTGGCATGGGAAATCTGGGGCAGGGAGAAGAAGGAATTGCCACCTTCAGTCTCTATAGTGGAAGGGCCCTGTCTCCCACCAAACTTACACAATGGGTTAGCCCCAAGCAGGGCAGGTTTAATATGCAAGTCTTGTATTAGTCGGTAGTAAGACAATTGGATCTCCATATCCAAAGATTGAATTGTGTAAAGAAGCCTTACCTGTGTCAGTCACGTATTCAGCCCAGGTGGTTTCACAACACATTATTCTCTCAACGCTGGATCCTTGAGATGCAGCTCCAGCTGTGGGAACGGTGGGCAGAGATCTCATTCAAAGGACAGGAGATGGGGGTGACCAGGTCCAGCTCCCAGGTCAATCAGCAGTAACAGCCTCCCAATGACCTCCTCCAACACTGTGTTGATGACAAGGGATAACTAAGCTCTCTTAACCAACCACTCCTAACCTAGTTGTGGAGGGCACCAAGGTGCCCCTTCCAGTGAAGAGCTTCCCAGCTGATAGGGTGCTAGAAGCTCCTCCCCGCTGCCCTGGCCACTGTTGTGCCCACTGGTTGTCAGACATCCACCCAGAGTCACTTGGAGCAGGGATTGTTCTTCAACTGTCCTTACTAGTTTAGTTCCATTTTTTCAGTTGGAAAAAAAAAATGGACAAAAATTTAAATAAAAAGAAACTGCTTGTTGCTAAGAAAACTAATGCTTTAAGAATTTAAATTGTGCTTTGAATGCTTTAAGAAGACCCAATAAAAAATAGCTTTAAAAAAAAAAGTGCTTGGAACTATATATGCACCATATCTAAAAGATTGGAGAATATATAGAAATGTTTTTGAAACTCTATAATTCTATGCTCAGACTATTTAGAATTTTCCGAAATTGAAAATTAGATATAATAAATTATGAGTGTGGTTTGAGCAAAAATGATCACAGAATCCATCATCAGACCCACACACCAAGAAAAGACCTTGCCCTACATTAAAGTAGAGTGTTAATATAGATTTATGTTTTAAGTTCAAATAATATGTTTAAGGTATGTTTTCTCTTGTAATGACTCCCCACTTTAGCCTGTTTTTTAATTAATTGAGTTAGCGGCCACGCTTGTTATTGTCTTGGGGCTAGTGTGTCACCCCTCACATCCCAAGTCTGGACTGGGTGGTCTTCACATGGTATCTGGCATCTAGCACTGGGCTGGCATATTGCAGGCCTTGGATAAACAGGTGTTAAATGAATAAGTAAATAAATAAGAGTTCGAAATTCAACCCAGCTCTCTCTTCTTGCTCTTTCCTGGCAGCTTTCTTTACTTGGGAGAATATGGCCTATGTCCCAAACCCCCAAATTCTCTTGAGAAATAGATCTATGTTTTCTTTCTCTTTTCTACCAAAGCCATACTCAGAGATTCAGATATGGCTACTCACACATTTAATTTATTGAGCCAAACTGAGGAGCCCACGACAGAAGGAAAAAAACCTCATCGTATTCGTCGTAAAAAGAAATTAGATACAGAAATAGATACAGAGTGGATAAAGAGCAGCACTAAGGTAAGTGTGGCAGTGGTATTTTTATTTTGTGCAGGTTTTAAGGCTCAGGTGGGATACTCACACCATCCAGGAGCTGTCAAAACCAATACACAATGTGAATACAAGAAAAATGTGTTCACTATATGGAGGCACATCGGAGGTTATCACAAATTGACTAGGACTTTTACTAGGACTCATTCTCCCTAAAGGGCCTATATTTGGCAGTTAGATGAGGTTGGGGGAGGAGTAAAGAAAATATATGTTATAATATATAGGTCCTTCTCCTAATAAATTTTAAACCCATGTTAAAAAGTAATTACATAGTGAATGGATAAATAAACTGTGGTACATCCAAACAATGGAATATTATTCAGTGATAAAAGAAATGAACTATCAAGCCATAGAAAGACATGGAGGAGCCCTAAATTCATATTACTGTGTTAAGGAAGCCAATCTGAAAAGACTACATACTGTATAATTTCAACTACATACCGCATAATTTTATTTTTGAACATGGTGGGGATTAGGGGCACCAATGTGCTGTGCAGTTGAAAATCAAGTATAACTTAAGTCAGCCCTCTGCATACATGATTCCCAACTGAAAATCAAAAATACAGCTGACCATTGAACAACCTGAGTTTGTACTGCACGGGTCTACTTATATATAGATAAGTGGACCTGCACAATTCAAAGCCATGTTGTTCAAAGGTCAACTGTATGACATCTGGAAAAGGCACAACTATGGGGACAATAAAAAGATCAGTGGTTGCCAGAGGCTAGGGAGGAGACAGGAATGAACAGGTGCAGCACAGAGGAATTTTAGGGCGTGAAAATACTCTGTATGATACTATAAGTGAATGCATGTCATTAGACATTTGTCTAAATCCATAGAAGGTACAACACCAAGAGTAAACCCCAATGTAAACTATAGACTTTGCATGATAATGATGTATCAATGTAGGTTCATTGACTATATGAATATACACTAAGGTGCAGGATGGTAACA